CGAGGTGACCGCCGGCTCCCTAAGGAGCTGCCTGGTTTGGAAGGAGAAGCTTTGGGTTTATCTTAGCCCCGCCAGGAAGGTTCCACTGCTGCCTCGGCACTAAACGAGCTGTTGAGGTGTTGGAAACGTTGAGGTGGTTTGAGGGATGGTGGCTTCCATCAGCCATGGAGGACATCACCACGTGCTACCGTTGGGCACCATCTACGTGGCAACCTCAACTCTTTTAGTGATGTGGGTGCTAATCCAAATCCCACTGCTGCAGAGCACAGCCCACAAAGGTGCCAGCGTTCTGTGGAGGCACCAGAATGAAAATTGAAGATTGTAAGAGCAAGATCTTAAACTTTTTTTGTTGTCTCTAGACCGTGCTGTTTGCTGAGCTCCGTTGCACGTCAGCATCGTGGGGTGACTTGCCGTTGCGTGGCACTTAAACTCCTCCTGGTGTTGTGGGGCAGCAGATGAGGGCTTGGGGGGATAAATTTCAGGAGAAATGGGCTTTCCTATGGTGGCAGTGGTAGGAGACTGGTGCCTCCAGCTTGGAGATGGTGTCGTTTCTCACCGTGGTGTCTGTCTTGTCTCCCCACAGCCTGCGACCACTGCCTGCGGGCCCTGGAGACGGCGGAGGAGAACGCCCAGCGCCTGCTGGGGAGGAGCTCCCTGGTGCTGCCTCACCCAGAGCAGTGCAGCATCCGCAAGGACCTGCACCAGCAGTGCCCCCGATGCCAGGTACGGGGCTGCTGGGCCGGCCCGTGGTCTCCTTGGGCACACAGGCTCCTTTACCAGGCTCCCGAGGTGGGCGTCGCGACGTTCCCTTCTGCGTTTTGACGGCCGGGGTTCGGATGGTGAGGGAAGGGGGCACAGCTGGGGCTAGGACCCCCCGTTTTCCTGCTGCCGTAGCCGACGCCGGGCGCTGTGCCCCTCGCTCTAGGTGACCTACTGCAGTGCTGAGTGCAGGCAGGCCGCTTTGGAGCAGTACCACCAGGTCCTCTGCCTCGGCCCGTCCCGCGACGACCCCACGCACCCCCTCAACAAGCTGCAGGAGGCATGGAGGTAGGGGACCGTCCTGCCTGCTGCTCCACGGGCAGAGGAGGTGGCTCTCCTGGGCTCAGTGATGCCGCCTGGGACCAGGGCTGAGGACCATCCTTGCTTTGCATCCCTGCATGACGTGGCCGGAGGGTGGTGGTGGCCGTGGGACGCTGCTCAGCTCTCCCTGCTGGTTGGGCAGCAGGTGGATTTGTGTTGGCAGCTCAAGGGTTTGGAGGTGGGGCTGAGCAATCCTTATTTTTCTCCCAGTGAAGAGCTACAAAAATCACTTAGCTGCACATCCCTTGCTCCTGAGATTTTTGTAGTGCTCCTGCAGATCTCCAGCCCTTGGGAGATGCTCCTTGTAGCACCCCCACGGGTACAGAGATCGCTGTCCCTGCTCGCAGATGACAGGGTGGGGCCCAGAGGAGGGAAGAGACCTCCCTGATCCAAAGCTCGTCACAAACCCCAGCTCTTGCTGCAGACCTGGGCTTTGTGTGGGACCCAGGCTGCAGTTAATGGGGTGGTGGGAGATGATCTCTGTGGCTGGTGCAGCTTCTCCTCGCCCCCAGCAGCGCTGGGTCCCCGCTTCGGCGTGAGGCATGAGCACGGGCCTGACCACGTGGACACCAGCTGCCTCTGCCTCCCTCCAGCTTTTTATTTCCACACCAGCACCCATCTGCTCATCTCCTCTCTTCATTCTTACCCTCAGAAACATGCACTATCCACCAGAGACTTCCAGCATCATGTTGATGGCCCGGATGGTCGCCACTGTTAAACAGGTACGTCTGTGGTGCAGAGCCAGTGCTGCTGGCCTGTGGTTTCCTCATGCCATGGTGGCTGTTATTCCCAAGGATTGGTGACTGGCTGGGTCTTGCTGGAATAGATTTCAACACCTGGGAGGTCCCTGGTCATGGAAAGGGGCAGCAAAGGAGATTCCTGTGTCCTGAGCCAAGCAGGTCTATTTTTTTCCATACCAAAACAGTCAGAACAGACCCTTTCCTTTGGCTCTGTCTCTTTGGGCTGTTTTTCCCAGTGTTTATTCCAGCTATAAACTACCACCATGCAACTGCTTCTGGTGGTTCTTGATAGCAGGCTGGAGAACCTCGGGGCTCAGCAGGGCTTGTCCTCTCCTCCCTCCCTCCTGGCTTGAGGGGAAGCAGTGTTGGTGCAACGCCCTGGCTTGGTTCCTTTGTCAGGCTAAAGACAAGGAGTGGTGGATCAAGACCTTCTCCCAGTTCTGCAGTAAGACAGCAAATGAAGAAGAGGAGATTGTGCACAAGCTGCTGGGGGACAAATTTAAGGTGAGAGCCAGGCAGTACGTGAAGGTGTTGAATCCCTTTCCCTGCCCGTGTCTGTGAGCCCAGGGCTGCAGAGGCCCCATTACAGCTGGTGTGGGAGACCCTGGAAGTCCCAGGCTCAAAGTGGAGGCACAGAGCCCCCCATTAAGGGGCTGGCTGAGCTCATGGAGAAGAAACAGGTTGCTTAGAGGGCTTGGAGCGTGGGGTGCTCCCAGGGGACAGGCTGCTTGTTCCTGTGGTGGAGATGCTTCTGCTGTGGGATGGGGCAGGGTGATATTTAGCTGCTGAGGAGGTGGCTTCTGCTGCTAAAAGGGGTGGTTCTCAGTGCTCTGAGGGCTAGCCTTGCAGGGAGCTTGACTCCTGAGCCTTACAGCCTGTGCTGGGCTCAGCTGGCAGCCTGGGTCTGAGGCCTGGTGGCATCTCCCCACGCTGATGGTGTTGCCATGTCCTGCCAGGGCCAGCTGGAGCTGCTGCGGTTGCTCTTCACCGAAGCCCTTTACGATGAACAGCTCAGCAGGGTGAGTGGAGGGACCTCCTGAAGAGCTCAGAGTGGGGTGGGACCCTCAGCTTGGTGCCAGCTCCCTGGGTCATCTCTGCTCTGAAGGAAAGGGCTTCCCCTGGGACTCCACCCCTTCTTTTCCTTCTTCTTTTCCTTCTTCTTTTCCTTCTTCTTTTCCTTCTTCTTTTCCTTCTTCTTTTCCTTCTTCTTTTCCTTCTTCTTTTCCTTCTTCTTTTCCTTCTTCTTTTCCTTCTTCTTTTCCTTCTTCTTTTCCTTCTTCTTTTCCTTCTTCTTTTCCTTCTTCTTTTCCTTCTTCTTTTCCTTCTTCTTTTCCTTCTTCTTTTCCTTCTTCTTTTCCTTCTTCTTTTCCTTCTTCTTTTCCTTCTTCTTTTCCTTCTTCTTTTCCTTCTTCTTTTCCTTCTTCTTTTCCTTCTTCTTTTCCTTCTTCTTTTCCTTCTTCTTTTCCTTCTTCTTTTCCTTCTTCTTTTCCTTCTTCTTTCTGCCTCCCCTTTCCGCCCTTCCCTCCATTTGTGGGATTTGAGGTGCTTGCAGGGTGGGGTGCTGCTGCAGGCTGTCCTGGGCTCAGCTGCTTTCCCATCTTCCTTCTGCAGTGGTTCACTCCAGAAGGTTTTCGATCCCTCTTTGCCCTCGTTGGGACCAATGGCCAAGGCATAGGAACAAGGTAAAGGGGCTTTGTGGGTGCTCCTTGCAGGGCAGCAGAGATGGGGCGTGGAGGGGATGTTCAGTTTGTGAATCATAGGGTCATTTGGGCTGGAAGAGATCTTTAAGATCATGGAGTCCAGTCATTAACCCAGCACTGCATGGTGCCCACTAACCCATGGACCTCAGCACCACATCTCCATGGCTTTTAAACCCCTCCAGGGATGGGGACTCATTTCTCTGGGCAGCCT